TAATAATAATAATAATAATAATAATAATAATAATAATAATAATAATAATAATAATAATAATAATAATAATAATAATAATAATAATAATAATAATAATAATAATAATAATAATAATAATAATAATAATAATAATAATAATAATAATAATAATAATAATAATAATAATAATAATAATAATAATAATAATAATAATAATAATAATAATAATAATAATAATAATAATAATAATAATAATAATAATAATAATAATAATAATAATAATAATAATAATAATAATAATAATAATAATAATAATAATAATAATAATAATATAATAATAATAATAATAATAATAATAATAATAATAATAATAATAATAATAATAATAATAATAATAATAATAATAATAATAATAATAATAATAATAATATAATAATAATAATAATAATAATAATAATAATAATAATAATAATAATAATAATAATAATAATAATAATAATAATAATAATAATAATAATAATAATAATAATAATAATAATAATAATAATAATAATAATAATAATAATAATAAAATAATAATAATAATAATAATAATAATAATAATAATAATAATAATAATAATAATAATAATAATAATAATAATAATAATAATAATAATAATAATAATAATAATAATAATAATAATAATAATAATAATAATAATAATAATAATAATAATAATAATAATAATAATAATAATAATAATAATAATAATAATAATAATAATAATAATAATAATAATAATAATAATAATAATAATAATAATAATAATAATAATAATAATAATAATAATAATAATAATAATAATAATAATAATAATAATAATAATAATAATAATAATAATAATAATATAATAATAATAATAATAATAATAATAATAATAATAATAATAATAATAATAATAATAATAATAATAATAATAATAATAATATAATAATAATAATAATAATAATAATAATAATAATAATAATAATAATAATAATAATAATAATAATAATAATAATAAATAATAATAATAATAATAATAATAATAATAATAAATAATAATAATAATAATAATAATAATAATAATAATAATAATAATAATAATAATAATAATAATAATAATAATAATAATAATAATAATAATAATAATAATAATAATAATAACAACAACAATTGCAGCAACCTATGCTCGTATCATTTCCCCACCCATCAAAATCACCTTGTCCTGCAGCAACCTATGCTCGTATCATTTCCCCACCCATCAAAATCACCTTGTCCTGCAGCAACCTATGCTCGTATCATTTCCCCACCCATCAAAATCACCTTGTCCTCAAGGTGATGTACACCGTGCTACTCTTTTTTTTCCTTGCCTTCCAAGTTGATACTCTCAATGAAAGCATCTGTGTGGTTTGACCAGAATTAGAATCTGTAATGGCGTATAAAGAGATATTTGGATTGTCGACCACTTCATAATCCAAGGGCTCTGGTTCGACAGGGGAGAATTCGGCAGCTTTGTCGATTACCAGCAAAAAGAGACGCTTGCAGTTATGCGCCGGGATCCGTCTCTCGTCGCAGTGGAAGTGCAGGCCTTTGGCGCGCCTCTGTTTGTAGTCTGCTCTGGACATGCGACGTTGCAGGGGCGGGCAGCTTGGGTTGACGGGGTGGCTGCCAGTGGAGGTGGCAGGAATCGTCGTGAGATTCGGCGAAGTCGACGGACCTCCAGAACGCGACGCCGTGGTCACCGGAAACTGGGCCCCTGCGGCAGAACGCATTGCTGCACTAACGAACTCCTGAGGTGGAGTTCATTGCGTTTTGAAAAACTGCTCGCAGTGCTGAAAGCAGCCAGCGGGATCTTTTCTCCTGTCATAACACGGAAACTCTAGGCGCGTGAATTTCGGACCCACCATTGGCGGGGGTGGTGGACGTGGTTGCGGGCTATCCGGAGGTGGCGGTGCGTGGTTTGCATCCATGTGCGTGTGGTTGCTAGAGCCGTCCGCAGGTCCTTTGGCAGCCATGAATTGGCGAAACAGCTGTTGCAAAGAGGCCTGGTCATCTTTTAAGGCTTCAATGGCAGTCTGGAGTTGGTGAACCTCTTCGTGCAGTGCAGTCTGGAGTTGGCGAACCTCCCCACGTAGTGCCATGACCGACTCAACCAATGATTGGTCCCCTCGCCCATGACGACGGGCTCTGATACCAAATTGTTATGTGCCGGGATATTTAGGATCGCGTCACAGGCCTAGAACTTAAGAATGAAAATGCAGAAGCTTTTCTGGAGTGCTTCTTCTTCCAAAATACATAAACTTTTCTGGAGTGCTTCTTCTCCCAATCTTTCATATAATAGAAAGCCAAAATACTAATTTCCAAGATGTACTCTTCAAATACATAGGCATCTATTTATATATGATAATAAAACTACCCACTAACCCACTACTATATTATAACTACCCATGATCCCACTATAAACTAATAATAAACTAATAATAATAATAATAATAATAATAATAATAATAATAATAATAATAGTAATAATAATAACTACTGCAGCAACCTATGCTCGTATCATTAATGTTATGGACCGGGATATTAGGATCGCGTCACAGGCTTAGGAACTTAAAACACAAATGAATTGAAGCGTTTCTGGAGTGCTTCTTCTCCCCAATCTTTCCTTAATAGAAAGCCTAAAGAGTTAATACCCAAAATGGTCCTTCAACTATGCCATAATTACCAATTTGGTCCTCAACTACCATTCTTACCCAATTAAGTCCTCAACTATGTAACTTTTACTCAATTAAGTCCTCAACTATACAATTCTTACCCAATTTAGTCCTCAACTACACAATTCTTACCCAATTTAGTCCTTTGTATTAATTTAACTGTTTGTTGACCGTCAAAAGTCGGGATAAAATTATAATTTTACAAGATTTCTCCTTCCTCTCCATTTAGCAGCGCCAAACCATGCAGCAATACACTCCGATCAGATTTCGATCGTTGAAAATCAAATTCATGGGCTATCCGATGCATAACCACTACTTCGATACTGACAGGTTTAGAACCCAACCGGAGCTTATTGCTACATGGTTTGGCGCTGCTAAATGAGGAGGAAGGAGAAAACTTGTAAAATTACAACTTTATTTCCACTTTTGACAGTCAACGAACAGTCAAATTGACAAAGGACTAAATTGGGTAAAAATTGTATAGTTGAGGACTTAATTGGGTAAGAATGATAGTCGAGGACTAAATTGGTAATTACGACATAGTCGAGGGACTATTTTGGGTATTAACTCAAGCCTAAATTCTGAATTTCTAAAAGTCCCCCTTCTTCAATTACATAGGTAGGTATTTATACATAATAATATAAAACAACCCACTAACCCACTACCTAAGTGCCTGTAACTACCTAAGAAGGTGGCTATCCCACTATAATAATAATAATAATAATAATAATAATAATAATAATAATAATAATAATAATAATAATAATAATAATAACAACAATAATAATAATAACACTATGGTTGTAACATTTCCCCGCCCATCAAAAATCACCTTGTCCTCAAGGTGATGGAACAGAGTGTATCATTAGAACCCAAAAGTGTTGTATTCGGACTAGCCAAAATCAGTCACGTGATGCTCAAATGGACCACCTGGTTGTCCAGCTGGGTTGGGCCCAATATTCCCTTCAGCCTCATCAATAACCACACAAAATAAATGTGCACAAGAATGGCCGGGAGTCCAGCGCTCATCACAAGTAAAACATAGACCCTTGGAGCGTCGATGTAGGTACTCAGATCGCGAGAGGTGCCGTTCAGTGGGGAAGGAAAAGGACCCGCGTGGACCGCCGACGGAGCCGGCCTAGGGTTCGCGACGCGGAAGCTGTTCGCGGAAGTCGCTGCAGAGATCGCCGGTGCCGACTGTCCAGGTTGCAACGAAGTCGTACCTGCGAAGGACGAGAATGCCGGACTCAGTCGTGGACGGTGTTCGGGTACGGAGAGCTGGCGGCGAGAGTAAGATCTGGCGAGGTTGATGGCGACATCCAGGTTCGGCAGACACTGATTTTCAACATCGATGCGTAGCCAGTCGTCCAATCCCGCAGTGTAGAGGTCGACGACTTGGTCATGGCGAATCATCATCGTACGAAGCAGCGCCGTCTGGAAGTCATCATCGTAGTCTGCGATGGGGCGGCCTCCCTGGTTCAGTTTGGCGAGACAACCCAACGCATTACCTCGAAGGCCAGGTCCGAAGCGCAGGTAACAACGTTGTTTGAACTGAAGCCAGGTAAGTTCCAGTTCTTCCATCTCTAGCCGGAAATGCCATAGTTGGCTTTGATACCAAATGTTATGGACCAGGATATTAGGATCGCGTCACAGGCTTAGGAACTTAAAACACAAATGAATTGAAGCATTTCTGGAGTGCTTCTTCTCCCCAATCTTTCCTTAATAGAAAGCCTAAATTCTGATTTTCCAAAAGTCCCCCTTCTTCAATTACATAGGTAGGTATTTATACATAATAATATAAAACAACCCACTAACCCACTACCTAAGTGCCTGTAACTACCTAAGAAGGTGGCTATCCTACTACTATAATAATAATAATAATAATAATAATAATAACAACAACAATAATAATAACACTATGGTTGTAACATGCTTGGTCCGAACTACTTTGGTCCAGGTCACTTTCTATGAACAAGAGTTAACTGTTCGGTTTGGATCACCTATCATAGTTCGGACAATCTTGGTCCGGGTTGCTCAAGTCCCGATCGTTCCACTTGGCTTAGCCCGCTTCGGTTTGAACTATCTCCCTGGACCCCAAATCTACATTCTTTAGGCCATTTCCAATACATCCATCGAAAGAGAACTTATTTTAAAACTCATTTGAGTTTATATGATAATATAATAAAGAGATAAAATAACTCCCACAATAAATATACTCGAAATTAGAATATTTTGTAATTTAACAACACAAATTTATAAATAAACTTTTTTCGAGGAAATTTATAAATAAACTTGGTTGCATGTGTAATGTGTTTAAAGCATCGACGTAGCCACAAGCCACGCAGTTTCGAACGCGGGCTCTGTTTCCTAAATAGATATTGGTACTGCACTACTTCAATTTCGCTAAAATGCCCTTGACCCACCATACTTTACTTAGGCAGATACATGCCCATTTCACTATTTCAGGGACAAGATTGGAAGGGCATATTTTTACATTTGATATGATTTAACTACGGTAGCTTGCAGCAAAATATGCTAGAGGTCCAACCATGGCAGCATTGATGTAAGTAGCAGGTTCCGAATGGCTGTAATCCGTCCGATCGTCAGGGAAGAAGTCGTTTTGGTTTGGACCGCCGACCACGGCCCCGACTAAAATGTTAGGGTTAGCATTTGACGAATAGTAGAAGGGTTGGAACCCGCTTTCGCATCCGAAAGAGTCTGGATGTGCAGCTATCGAAGGTAGCGATGATCCTCTGTGGTGAATTTTTCTTGGATAATTGGTTCCGTATCCTACCATGTAGGACATTTTCATCGGATTCTCACCCAAAATGTAATCCACCTATAATTTTCAAAGTCGAACATAATAATCAATCTCTATACAAATTCAGCAAAAATTAACTAATAATTTTGTCCATACACAATTTAAACGTGCTTTTTAAATTTTTTTTTTTCAATGTAGTATATGTTCTATAAGTCACCTGTCTTTTGGCAAGACTTCGCAGAGTGCTAGAAGTAACCAAGAGGCTTCCACAATTGAAGGTACGTTTAGTGGCTGCCATGTATTTGGCATATGTAGTGACCAATGATGATATAGATGTCACATATTGAAGAGTACTTTGTGGTAGCTTGTACATCAGACCACCTGCGACATATAATAATAATAATATTATTATTATGGAATATAAAGTAGAAATCAGAAAATTACTTGTGACAAAAGGTAGAATTGTTCATCCTAGGCGCTTGTACAGGATTGTGAAAGGGTAAACTTAATTGATCAACAAAGACTAGACTTTTGCTTAGTGTACACAATGAGCCCCTCATTTGAGAGGTTGCTCCACACTGTCGCGGGTGAGACTCAATTCTTAGTCTTTTATTACGAATTTCACATATGTGACCAGTTGAGTTGTTCATGCAAACAAAATCAGAAAATTAATGAGGATAGTTTTGGTTTTACCATTTGTGTACTGTGTACTAGAGTAAGGGGAGTTGGGAAGAATTCTGCACATGAAGTCCTCAGCATGCTGCCTATATTGGGCAAATCTATTGTCATTTCCCAGCACACTTCTCTGCAAAGATAAAAAAAAAAAAAAAAAAAAAAGTCAATATAAAACATAAATGTGCAGTTTAACTACCAATTTAGACTTGTAATTAAAACAAAACATATTTTTTTATTTAGTATCATATAGTCAAACTAATGTAAAAGTCATGCCATGAGATTATTAATTTAAACATTTAGTTGAGACGAATTACGTATTCTTTAAATGTTCTTACCCGGGATAGAAGAACATAGGCACCAGCATACTTGTTGTCCCAGCTGAATATGTCCGGTGAATCATTGGCTCCCAAGGAGCTAATGAAGTTGTAATATGAAACGTCATTGGTTGCTCTTAAGAGCCATGCTGCTCCCCACAACAACTCATCCTGTCAATCAAAAAATCAATGAATGTCCATTACACTGCAATTAATCATGTTTTTTAGAATATTTTTGTATGTGATAAACCTACATTAAAACAGAAAGGACAAATTCATTCTGTATATACTTTCTTTGTCCTATTTTGTCTGTCGACTAAGAAGACATGGCGTCACATCCTGACCCGTCAGAGTATTTAAGAGGATGTAGATCACAATGACGCACAAAGGATTTACTCACTTTGGACATAATCCTCACATTTTGTCTGTCGACTCAACAGACAGGGCTCCCACACCTCGGCCCCCGTCAGAGTATTTAATCACGATGATTAAATCATAACGTGTGGGAAGATGTAAATCATGATAACTCAAAATCACGATGACTAAATCATGACGTGCGAGAAGATGTAAATCATGATAACTCAATGACGCACAAGATATCTACCCACTTTGGGTATAATCCTCACACTACTGTCACGGAGCTTCGAACCTTTGTCTCGAATCCTTAATACCTACTGAACCGTGTGAACCAAAAAAAGCTAAATTTAATATTGTCAAAAATTGAATTAAAAATAACTTTAATTAAGCCTGGTTAATTGAACTAGAAAAACAAAATGAGACATAGTACAAGACATTGTAAGTAATACCTGGTGACCGGAATAAGAGCAATAGAAAGGGCAAACGGCGGCACCTAGTTTATCACTATAAGAACCCCTGTACTGAACTGCAAAACGGAACACTTTGACTGCGGTCCCCAGAAGCTTCCGGGAATAAAGCGGGTCGACCTTACGGAAAACCAAGGAGGCGGAGGCCAAGGCGGCGGCCATTTCTCCGGCGACGTCCGACCCGGGATTGCTGGGCGAAATGGAGTAGACGGTTCGGACAGTGTCCATGTCCTCCGGCCTTTCCCAGCACTTGTGGTCGGCGTTTGGGTCGCCCACGCCGACGAAGATCTGCCCAGGCGCGGCGTTGGCGCACTTGAGAAGGTAGTTCGTGGCCCACCGGATCGCCTCCCGTGTACTCTGTAGTTGAGGTCCCATTCTTTTCCCATACTCTAATGCACTCCATGATAGCAGAGTTGTGGTGTAGGCCATCGGAAAGTTGAATTTCACATTGTCTCCGGCGTCATAGTACCCTCCGGTTAAGTCCACCTGCACCGCAGATTACCTCTTCTTACTTCTTATTAACCAAGGATCAAATACTTAATATTCCGCATGTATAGTTTGTAGCAAAGGCATAATTTTATTTTTTTATAAAGTGTCTTCACATTTTTTGTAGAGGCAGGCCCGGTGTTGGACTTACCCTACATCTGTTTCAGTCACCAATTGATATACCAGTCCGAGGCAGGCCCGGTGTTGGACTTACCCTACATCTGTTTCAGTCACCAATTGATATACCAGTCCGAGGCAGGCCAGGTGTTGGACTTACTCTTCACCGGCTTCAGTTGCCAATTGATAAACTGGTCCAAGGCAGGCCAGGTGTTGGACTTACCCTTCACCGGCTTCAGTCACCAATTGATAAACTGGTCCGAGGCAGGTCAAGTGACTTACCCTTCACGGACTTCAGTCACCAATTGATAGACTGGTGTTGGACTTACCCTTCACCGGCTTTTGCCCAACAATCTCCAGCCAACCACCAATTGATAAACTGGTCCCTTTACGAGGCTCCCCCATAAAATAACCCACTATCCATATCTATCATAACAACTAGAAATTAAAGCACATAACTAACAACTCATCATAACAAGCATGTACTATCGAAATAATGGTATATAATGACGTACATGAGCAAGCGAACCATCCGAGAGTCCAGAGCTACCCCGCCAAGTAATTTGTTGTCCTCTAGGGATTCTCCCGGATCTCTGGCCCTCGAAAAACAAAATGGACTTGGCTAGGGCATCCCTATAGTTAGGGGTTGCAATCACCATAGAGATGAATGTGAGAGAGAAGAAGATGAGAAGAAAAGAAGCCCCCATTTGAAACGCCATTGTACACTTAGTTCAAAGTGTAGAATGGTATATATATTTTAGTTGGTGAATGGGGTATGCAGTAATAGGAGAATGGGTTCCCCTTATATATATAGAAGCTGCCGTCTTGCTTGGAAACTGCAATCACAAACAACGCAAATTAAGGCTTTTCGTCATCTCAACTGTCCATTTAGCACTAATTATTAAATGAATTGGCAAGAGTTGATTGTGGATAGACATAAATGATTTTCATTAGGTGCAAAAGGGTAGCTCGTGAAAAAGATATCGGCTCCTTAATTTTTAAGAAGTAGGCCTGGTTGACCAGAATGTTTCCAGTTAAGTAACTATATTAGCCCCCAAATATTCAATGAGCAAATAGAGTTTTCTACCATATAAATATTCATCTTATTGTAAATTCGAGTTATTAGGTCAATTTGAATGATCAATTAACACATAAAGTCAATAGTTATGTTTTTCAAAAAAAAAAAAAAAACAGTCAATAGTTATACCATGGATCCGGTCCACTTTGTAAGACGGACCAAGGTCCAAAATACACAATTTACATATTTAATGTTCACAATTTACCTTTTACAAAATTGTGAACATTCAGTATGTAAATTAGGAAACATTCAATATGTAAATTGTGTATTTTGGACCCGGATCTACTTTGCACAGAATAATTTGCCACATAAAGTTAACCAGATTAAGCGTATAAGCTCCAACGAATTCACTACTCAATCAATTATTATTCCATGGACCATGGTCCACACATTTGTATGAATCATAAATAAAAAGTACATTTTTAATATACTAAAAATATATTATTTGTATACATAAAATACATTATTTGAAAGTACATGATGTTTTATATATTATCAAATAATGTACATTCACTACACAAATAATGTACTTTTAGTATATTAAAAATGTATATTACATTCATGGTCTATACAACTATGTGGATTGTGGACCATGGTCACACAATAATTTGCCCTGCTCAATTTATTCTTCAACCAGCTATATATAAGTTTGGCATGTTTAGTTTATAGGTTTTAAAATATGTCCAAACTTAACTTTTTACTAAACAAGTCAGGCCTAACTAAGCCTTAACGGCTTAACTAGGGCAGGTCATCGGTCCTTACAAAGAGACTTGGCCTATACCCATTCTTAGACATGTTGAAAGTTGCATTAATTTACTCACACAGTTTGATCTAATTTGGTAAACTATTTAAGACAAATATAATGAAAATATTTTGTTGTCATACTTAAGAAAGTCTCTTCGATCACTATATAGAAATGATAATTGATAAAAGGGAAATAAAGATATCCTTTTGTGAACTATATAGAAACAGAAAAATCACAATATTATACATATATAGTTAATGAATTGAAGAATCACAGAGTAAGATTCATATCAAAACTTACTCTAAAAACACAATGGATTTTTATAGTATTGTATGCAACGTTGCAATATGTTTGATAAAAGAAAGAGAGTATACTTTATGCGAATAAGTCATATGTAAGACTGTCTTATGTGAGATATGTAATATTTTTTTAGTTAAAATATAATTATTTTTTTAAAGATTTATAAAAAAAAAAATTATTATTACATTTTAACTAAAAAAATATTGTATGTCTCACATGAAAAGATCTTACAGAAGACTTATTCTTATTATGTTTCTTTTAAAGAATGAAAAAATGCCCAGTGGTGTAATTTATGTGATCGACAAATTAACGTTTAGTCTTGCACTCTTGCTTCTATGAAGGGTGGAGTTTGAATCCCATTGAAACCTGATGAGTCATTGATGGACTTTAACCAATCCGTGATGAAGAAGACCTCATGTTCAAAAGTGTACAAGCAAAGGGAAATCTAGAATCATTTGGACGACTCAAGATTTACCTCTTCATGGGTTTTGAATTGGGGTAATTCATGGGATCCATGATATAGTTTGGCGAATAAGCTAAGGGAAACCATCAATTTTTATTTATTTTTCACTATGAATACAAGGTACATTTAAATATACTAAAAATACATTATTTGTGTACTAAATTTATATTATTTAATAGTATACAAAATAATTTACTTTCAGTACTCAAATAATGTACTTTCTACGAGTACAAGATACATTTTCAATATACTATATGTACATTATTTGTGTATGATACTTGATAGTATAATAAATAGAAAAATTACGGACAAATTTAGTCCATTAATTATTTCTTACTTTTTTTTTTATTTTTTTTTAGTGCATAACTAATTAAAATTGTAGTTTTAGTCTTGGAGAAATAAAATCATTAAATTATATTAGGGTTGACTTAGCAATGAAAATCACTAACTAATATTATTCCTTAATAATCCTCTATAACATCATCAATTTCAATATTTCATTTGCAAAATAAAGAATTAACAACAGTCTTCCATAAATATGTGTAATAGATGATCAAATGAGGTCATGTTTCTACATGAGGTTTGTGGTCAAATATTGATTCTTGATTTTAGTTAGATCTATGACTATTGTTTTTGGCTTATTTTTTGGAGAATTTTTTTAATTATTGCCGTCACTTTAGTTGGGAGCTTTTTGGTCTTTGTATTTTTTTCATTTAATTTTTCATTTTATTTTGAGTGATCTGCATGTTTGTAGTTGGCGTAAATATGGTAATTAAGGTTTCTTTTGATTCCCTGAGTTATTTACCGTGTCTTTTTATATTATTTTTTCTAGTTCACTAATTTCAGTTTTGTTACTTTGTGTTTCTTCGAATACTATTGTCTCTTCATTATCTCTGTTTTGTTTTTCGCGTTTGGGGCTATGGATTCTCCAGGTGTGTATTTTCGTTGTCTCCAATATATATATTTATTGTCCATCGTTATTTGGTGTTTTTGTGCATATTTTTGTATTCGTGTATTAGATATTCTGTTGTGTTTTTGTTGGGTTGATTTGGGTCTGCAGCCTCTTCATTTTTCTTTGCTTTTATTCATCTCTGTGCGTGTGGGTGTTATTGATCATCCAAGGGTTTGTGTTGGGTGGTTCCAATATATATATTTTGTGCGTCGTTGTTTTCTGTTTTTGTGCGTAGTTATGTTTTGTTTGTTAAGATTCTCGTTGTGGTTGTTGTGGGTTACTTTGGGTTTGGGGGTTGTCATGCCTGCACTCTTTAAGTTAATTGTGTTGTAACTTACTGGTGATGTCTATTATTTTTTTTATGTATTAGTATTATGGCTCATTTTTGCTCTGAGAAATTATTTTTAATATACATATAATGTGTGTGTTTATTTTTTTGGGATAAAAATGTTTTTGGTGTGTGGCGTGTGTGTTGGTTATTTTTTTTCTTTTCTTTTTCTTTCTTTTGATATTGCCATTTTAATCTTTTGCAATTTATTTATTTCTTGGTTGTTGCTTTGATCAATTTCGTTGGTTATTAGTATTCACTTGTGTTTTTTTTTTTTTTTTTTTTTTTTTTTTTTTTTTTTTTTTTTTAATACATATTATGTGTTTGGTATTGGTTTTTATGTTTAAACATTTAAAGCGTGATTTGATGGCATATATTGGAAATTCTCCCTTATATTGGAGACAACGAAAATACACACCTGGAGAATTCATAGCCCCAAATGCGAAAAACATAACAGAGATAATGAAGAGACCAATAGTGTTCGACGAAACACAAAGTAACAAAACTGAAATCAGTGAACTAGGAAAACAATATAAAAAGACACGGTAAATAACTCAGGGAATCAAAAGAAACCTTAATTACCATATTTACGCCAACTACAAACATGCAGATCACCCAAAATAAAATAAACAATTAAAGAGAAAAAATACAAAGACTAAAAAACCCCGAACTAAAGTAGCGGCAATAATTAAAAAAAATCTTCCAAAAAATAAGCCAAAAAACAATAACCATAGATCTAACTAAAATCAAGAGTCAATATTTGACCAAACCTCATTTGATCCCCTCTCTCTCTCTCTCTCTCTCTCTCTCTCTCTCTCTATATATATATATATATATATATATATAGTCACACTCCCATGAGATCGAACATGTCCCCAAGAAAAAATTAAGAGTCAATATGTAATACTGAGATTGATTCTTAGTTTTCTCTTGAGAGCAAATTCTCATATATATAATCCTTTTCCTATATGAGCAAATACCAATTTTGGTCCTACAAGTATTAACAAAATGACGGTTTTGGTCCACATGTTTAATTTCTACCAATTTTCATCCACGACTATTGTTTTAGTACCAATTTTCATACACGACTATTATTTTACTACCAAAAATCATCATGCCGATCACCCCCTCTATTTAAGACATGTCGAAATCTAAAAATTGTAAGGGCATTTTCGTCTTTTTCAACATAAATTTCTAATTTGAGCAAGAATTAAGGGATTTAAGCCCTAAAATCGATCCCAATTCGCAGTTCTCCTCCTCATCTTACCTTAATTTGCGGAGGAGAATTACGAATTGGATAGATCTTATGGCTTAAATTCTTTTATTCATGCTCCAATTGGGATCTTAATTTGAAAATAACAAAAATACCCTTAATAATTTCATTTTTCGGCATGCCTTAAACGAAGGGGTAACCAACGTGATGAATTTTGGCACTAAAATAATAGTCGTGGATGAAAATTGGTACTAAAACAATAGTCGTGGATGAAAATTGGTAGGAATTAAACATGTGGACTAAAACTGTCATTTTGCTAATACTTGTAAGATCAAAATTGATATTTGTAAGACCAAAATTGATATTTGCTCTTTCCTATATATATATAAGTTTACTACCATACACAAGTATGGTCACACTCCCATGAGATCGAACATGTCCCCAAGAGAAAATTAAGAGTCAATATGTAATACTGAGATTGATTATTCTTAGTTTTCTCTTGAGAGTAAATTCTCATATCTATAATCCTTTTCCTATATATATAAGTTTACTACCATACACAAGTACAAAGACAAGTCTTAAGCACTTTAAGATTTTTGTTATTCTAAAGACTAAAACTGTAAATTTCTTGAAAAATTAAGGAGGTAGATTACAATAGCAAAAAATTATGACCTAATTAAAACAACAAGTATAAAATAATTGAGCTACTAAAAACACATTTTTCCTAATAAAAATCTTATCAATATTTGAATAACGCGAGAAAAACCGATCGTCATTATTTGAGGATGAACACTAAATTAACCATATTTTTATGTATTAGTCACAACCTTTTTACTAGCAAAACATTATCCTCTCTAAAAATATACTCCATATTGAAATGGTAATCCATACAAGGGACACAAAGATACCCTTTTGATGAACATGAAACAGCAAAATCACAAATTTTGATAATCAATTGAGGAAGAATTATCTAGAGTAAGTAATCTTGGGATTCCCCATTGTTGGTGTTGCACCCGACCAAGTTGTTCAAAAAGCCACCATGAATGGCCAAAGGAAAGGAGCTCAAATTTAGATGCTTGGCTTAATTGTGCTTTTTTACCTAAACCAAGTTAAAGAGAGGAAACTGAAATACCAGACAAATGATGCGCCCACTTTTAGGTTTCCATGTTTTTCCCTTTGTGTTTTGTTGTTATACCGAACAAACAGTGCAAAAAGCCTCCTTGTATTAAGGCACTTGATTTCACTTTGAAAAATGGTACTGTTATTTTCAAACCAAACAAATTTGTTTGGCATGATTGCAACAATGAATTTAGGGTCAGCTTGGAAACTCGAAAAATGACTTTCAGGAGTTATTTTCTGAATTTTTTAGTGTTTAGATACTCAAAAAAAAAAAAAAATGAAGTCAAAAGGAAAATCTTCTCAATGAAAAAATGCTCAATTTGGGCGGAAAATGTCTTCCTAGTTTTTTTTTTTTTTTTTTTTTTTTTCAGGAAGACATTTTATGGATACTTTATTTTTCCATTTATCTTATTTTTAAGATTATTTCTAGATTATTATTATTACCACCAACACCACCACACCACAACACAACCACAACATCACTACCGGCAGCACCACTACCACAACCACCATCACCACCACCACCAACACCACCACCACCACCACCACCACACCACCACACAGTGCTGGAAGTTATGGAATTTCCGACCACCTGAAAGTGATCTTAATTCTTAAGTCAAGTCGATGAAAGTCTTGTTCCGACCACTTTTGGTATCCAGAAAAACCTTTGTTGCTATTTTCGACCACTTTTTCCTTTCGATTTGATTTAAGATCACTTTCAGGTGGTCGGAAATTGCATAATTTCCAGCAGTGACACCACCACACCACAACGCAACCACAACCACCACCACACCACAACGCAACCACAACCACCACCACCACCACGACTACCACACCACCACTACCACCATCACCACTATCACACCACCACCAATACTACCAACACTAACACCACCACTGCCATCACCACACCAACACCACTACCAACACTACCATCACCACCACCAGCACTGTCACTAACACCAACACCACCACAACACTACCGTCACCACCACTACAACCACACCACCATCACCACCACACTACACCACCACCATTAACACATATTATTATTATTATTATTATTATTATTATTATTATTATTATTATTATGGAAGATGATGGAAACTCGTAACCACTATTCGACAATATGCATTGAATAAATCTAATCTTGTGACCTTAGCTGACCAAGGACTACAAGGAGATAAATGAACTAAAGTTGTCTATAACTGACTGACTCAAACTAAGAAAATCAATAGATCGCTTCAGCTAATAGTTAAACTTATTACTTTATGTTTATCAAGTAAACAGAAATATTTTTATACTTATAGTTAATACACATTATAGTCCTCGACTATAGTAATTTCACTTGATTTAGGCCTAAGTAACTTTTTATACTTAATTTAGTCCAATTCTGATGATTTTACACAATTTAGTCCTCTGTTAATAATTCTATTTGTTGGCTGTTAAAAGCCAGGATAACATGATAATTTTCCCTTTGTTCTTGTTAGTCAGATTACACTCCGGTTAGCAGCCATTTTCCACAACTACATTCTCCTGCTTAGCCAATTTAACTAAAGATGTTAAGCTAATTACAAAGGGGGACCACTTATCCATTAGCCAATGTTTAGTTAATTACAGGGGAGATTTTCATGCTTAGCTAATTTAATAGGAATAGCTTTCGAGGGAGACAGACACATGGGGAGATTTCCATTCTCGACACATCATTAACAGGCATACAATTTGAGTTCGAATTTGAAGAATTTATTGACTCAAAGTATTTTGTCAAAGTTATGTGCAAAAAGAATTCCAGTTCTATAAAGGAATATTAGTACTAAGAGGAATAGTTATTGAAGAATACTAGTTCTAAGGGGATTTGTTGTTGAAGATTTTCTAGTTCTATTTTGATTAGGAATCGTTTGTTATTCACGAATCTGTTAGGAATAGCTACTATAAATAGGGGATGTCCTTTATTGTAGATCTCAAGCATTCAACATTAATCTTGTGAGGTACGAGAGTCTTTGAGAATAAGATACTAAATTCCCCTAGAAAGTAGTACATGTGTTTAGGTTTCAATAGTTTGGTAGGAAAGATCATTCTATTGTGTAATCTCAGGTTCCAAACAGTGTACTTTAAATATTGAGCTTTTAGTGGATTTAGACAAGTTCTCAAATTGAGAAGTGTCTCGCAGATTAGAGTTGTTTGCTCAAACTGCGTTACAGATTGTTTGTATTACAACTTCAGTTTTGGTGCTGCGTTTTACAAATTTTCAGAATTTTTGTGAACTGGTGAAATTGTGAAGAAGGTGGAGTCCCCCATTAACAAGGTTCAAAATAGAAAAATACCAGCTCATAATGTTAACAAGATTCGGATTTCTAGGGCTTGAGAACATAAGGAAGGGAATTGGAGATTTTACCAGCGATAAGAAGAGGAAGAGAGAATTATGGAGAGGGGGGTAATATGACCAAAAAGAGGAGGGAGGGGAAATTACCATATTGACCATACTTTTAATAGTCAACAAACAAAATTGCTAACATATGATTAAATTGTGTAAAATTATCAAATTCGGAGATTAAATTAAGTACAAAAAATTTTATAAAACTAAATCGAGTAAAATCACTATAGTCAAAGACTATATTGAGAATTAACTAATTTCTTTTTTCCTTTTTGTAAGACCTAGCGTTGAAATTTTAGAGTTGAGAATGAATGGCGCAATTGGCGATACTATGGTCCTTGAATCGCGCTAACGAAAACGGCGCCTTAGCTTAAATGAAAATGGATAGTGCGGGGAATGGGGTATGGGGATTAGAATTTAGAATAGTCAACTCAACTGGTTTAATTTATTCCCTATCTTTAAGACTAAGCCTCAAATCCTCACTTTATTCTCTCCATAATTAATGCCATTCTTTGTATTCCAACTTCTTAATATGCGTCATTTAAACTTTGAAACTTTTTGGCACCTTGAGATCGATCACGCCCTTGAAAATACATGTTTAACGCTCCTCAATATACACTAACTAAATTTGTCAATCCATTAATTATGTAATTAAAGTGACATGATTACAAAAAATCAAATCTCGAACCTGATCTACAAATTAATAATGCTAGGTTATTAACAAGCAAACCCATTAGGTCAGTTTCAATTTTCCTTCTAGTAAGCGTTGATAATCTTTTCCCGTGTTGTGCATATAATATAAACATAAATGTATATAGTTCAACTATTAGTTTAGACTTTTAGTTGAGATGGAACACATGTTTCAATTTGGTATCAGAGTCAATTGCATGTCAAAGATCAAGCTCGTTGTATTTGCGAACTATTATACATGAACGAGATTAACTCAATGCACAACCTTAGATAGGACAATTTATATTGTGCACCCTGATGCAAAATGACGTCGTTTTACATAATTGTATAAAAAAATACACATAATTGTATAAATAAATACACATAACTGTATAAAAAAATACACATAATTGTATGAACAAATACACATAATGATATAAACAAATACACATAATCACGCAGACTCCCTTCTGCGCCTCCCAAAACGACATCGTTTTGGGAGGCGCGAGACGCACAGTGCTGTGCGCGCCGTGGTGCAGAGTATAACGATTGCTTAGATAGTGATTACGAGTTTATCTCGTCATTCATATATATAGTGTCATGTTTCCATGATACTCATATATATATATATATATATATATATAGAGGGTTAGGTTTCAATGAAAACATGCTCCCAGATCAAAAAGTGTGGGTTGCCACTTGTTAGAAAATAAGTGAAAAAAGACGGGTTAGTTTTATAAATGAGTTAATATCCAATTTAGTCCTCGACTATAGTGGTTTTTCTCGATTTAGTCCTCAGTTGTTAGAATCAAGGAGTAAATGGAGAAAACCCACTATAATTGAGGCAAAATTGGGTAAAATCACTATATAGTCAAAGGCTAACTTGGGTAAAACTACTATATAGTCTATGACTAAATTGAGTATTAATAGATGTGAAATTAAAAAACTATCTTATTAGAATACTCAATTGGATAAGACCAGCATCAAAGTCGATGACCTAATTAAGCACAAAAAGTCATTTAGGACTAAATTGGAAAAAATCACTATAATCAATGACTAAATTGAGTATTAACTCTTTTATAAATATTAAAAACTTGAAAGTTTACAATTTTTTTTTGGTACATCTGAAGCCCTCACGAGGCATTATCTTCTTCTCGCAGTTGGAGTACTTCGAGCGTCAGCTTCAAGGAGGCTAGTTAGACCCGCCGGTGCCAAATCCAAGATTAGTGTTCCCCAATCCATATCCTGGCCGAAATTCGCAAGCCAGTCAGCACATTGGTTCCCCTCCATTTCGATGTGGAAAATCTTAAACTTATGAAAACAATTGATGATGTCGATGCAATCTTTTACTAACGCCACCACCGTCTCCTCACTTTGATCTCTCTTGTTCATGATGGCCACAACGGCTGTTGCATCCAATTCCGCCCAAACCCTATAGAACCCTTCCCTCAGACAGAGTCGTAAACCCTCCCTTAGATAGGCCCCACAACTTTGCTGAGAAGCTGTATGTTAACTCGATCTTGACAGCAAAACCTTTAACCCATCGACCACACTCATCTCGAATAATGCCCCCAACACTTGCTAAACCCGTGTTGGATTTCCTAGCCCAGTCTGCGTTGAGTTTCAAAAAGCCCGATTGGGGGGGGGGGGGGGGGGGCAACTGACCGAATTACAGTAGCCATACGAAGCACCCCCATGTTTGAGGATGAGGATTTTTGCTTCGCTGGCTAAAGACCCCGCCATTTTGACGATATGCCCTAGGGTCTTTGACTTGCGTCTGAATATGAGCCCATTTCTAGCCTTCCACAATAGCCAAACGATGTAAACGAATGAGATATTCCAAGGGTTACCATCGCTCATATAGACTTTGCTTTGACAGTTTGATTTAATCGACGAACTGATCGGCGTGAAGGTAGCTGGCTCCACTCCTCCGTGAGCTTTGGCAATGTCCCAGCAATCCACCGCGAACTGGCAGTCACAGAAGATATGGGTTGTGGACTCCTGTAACACACTTAATTTTTAAAACTTTTAAAGCTTACGGAATAAAGGTAAATCTATTATTAATCATCCAAATAGGGCATAAACTAATCATAAGAGTCGGGGTGCTATGCCACACCTAGGTTTGAGAATTTAGATGCACAGGCTACAACTAACTAATCTAAGCATAATCCACAATTAATATTCAAATACAATTCCAGGCACACATGCCATAGCAACTATGACTAGAACTAACTAATGCTAAATCTGCGGGTCTGTCTAGCGCACTCCGAAGCTACTGGTCAGTACCTGAAAAACATGCGGTGTAACAACTGTCAGCGAATAATGCTGGTAACCCACTCCAACGCGTTAAGTACAATATAGGTAGATATAAGGAAATCATTTTGAAACTGGAATATGTATATATCCTAAGCAACTCTAGCTTTAAACCAAGATCAAGAATCAATACATAACAATAGACTTGACACTATAGAATGATCATAAAGACTAGCATGCATCCTAAGAACGCAATAAAAGACATAATAGACAGATAAGCTCATAAATAACAAATAGAGACAACAATGGAATTCAAAGACAATCAATTAGCAGGTAAACATCGAGGCACACAATTCATCTTCCAACCTTATACCAAGTTCCAACCTTATGGCTTCCCTCCATCCTTATATCAGTTCCAACATGTACCTCCAGACCACCCTTATATCGCCTCCCTTATTCCTCTGGGCAACTACATGCCCCCACCAACAAACCACCTATAAACCACCAACATATCAAGATAGCGCCGAAGTGCCATTCGCATGATCCGTACCTCTAGTACCAATACCAAGGGGTCAGCGCATATAGCCCCGACATGGCACCGCAACACTTATAACCTGACCCATGCTCAACGGCAAGCAAGTCGAAGGTGGGTTTGTGCCTTTAGCACAGTAACCGCTAGGCCTGTACCTTTAGTACAATGACCGGGCACTCGTTGTGCCAACCGCCAACAATTCTTTTCCACCAATCACAATCTCATCATCATTATCATCATTAGTCACACCGGTCATTGCGCAATGACCACGATACTCATCATCATTCAATCAATCAACACATAATCAATCAATAACAATCAAGACATAACAATAATGACACGTACTACACATAAATTCCTAGAACGGTACTAAAAACATCAAACGAGATTCACACACGACAAACGGGGTACAACGGGACACGGGGAAACAACAAACGGGGAAAAACATCACGACGCACATCAACTTTCTAGCGGGTGGGTGGCGGGTGGAGGACCACCCGCCGGCGGCGGCCAACCATTCCAGCGACTGCCCGGCGGGCAGACCATCTTTGGGTGCCAATCAGAGCATAAACTATCCGTATGAGTCGGGGTGTTATGTCACACCTAGGTTTGAGAACCTAGATGCACAGGCTAAGACTATCCAAAACATCTGAAATCCATAAGTCAATAGTCGAATACAATTCACGGCACGCAGGCCAATTACTACAGCTAGGACTAACTATGCTAAGCCCACGAGTCTGACTAGCGCACTCCATAGCTAATGCTCTGCACCTGTAAAACATATGGTATAGTAACCGTCAGCGAATAATGATGAGTAACCCACTCCCACGCGTTGAGTGTAATAAATATAAGTATAGAAAATCATTTTGAAACTGGAATACATATATAGCCTTAAGCAACACTAGCTTTCAAATCAGAATCAGGACACAGAATATAATAACGGAACGATATCACGAATACCACTAATCATGTGTCCTACGATTACAAGGCATAATAAACAGGCAAGCACATGATTAACAATTAAAGGCAAGAAACGGGATTCAATAACCATCAATTAGCAAATAAGCATCAGAACACACAATCCATCTTCCAACCTTAATGTTTTCTTTGAGAGAAGAAATGAAGAAGAAGATGGAGTGTGGAAGGATTGGGAGGCAAACAATGGAATAATAACATATTTATACCTAGGGCACAAAGCCCTAGGTCTAGAACGGCTAGGAGGGGGTATTTTGGGGAATTTGGGTTTAAATCTCGAGTTATAATTTCAGGTCAAAAGTTGGGTTAAGTTTGAATAAAAATATAACATAGTAAATGTAGAAATGAGTTAGGATCATTTTGAAATCAAGTTTGACTCAAAACTTTGGCTATCAGATTCACAGGTTCGTCTTAGATAGACTTTTGAGTTAAGTTTTTAATAAATAAATATTCCTCTTAGATGAGGCTTTTAAAACAATAAATATTTATATAAGTGTTTTATACTAAATCATTTGGAATAGAAGGTTTAAAATATTTTATCTATGCTTGACAAAATCATTATAGGACTAAAATTGCACAAATAGTTTTATTTAAAATTTGATAAAATAGGGATTTTGTAGGAAATATTTTGGGGTCTCACAATTTTCACCGGAGAAGGCGATGTACCGGAGAAGACGACATCGCCTTCTCCAATGGAGAAGGTGACCATATTTGGTTGCTTTCTCTATTGGGGACGACGACCAGATCTTGTCTCCATCTTCAATGGAGAAGGCGACTGCTGGTCGTCTTCTCCAATGGAGAAGATGACCAGATCTGGTCATCCTCTCCAATGAAGAAGGCGAACAAATCTGGTTGCCTTCTCCACCAAAGAAGAGACGACCGGCCAGTCGTCTTCTCCGGCCACCTGATTTTTTTTTTAAAAAAATTATTATTGTCAGAATTTTTATTCGCCAGAATCTTAAATGACCGGTTATTCCAGCTGAATAACTGGCTACTGGGTTTAGACGTCCCAAAATGACAAATTCGAGAGTTTAATTACACTGTTTTAAAGTTCAATGGCCTAATTGCACTTTTGACTAAAGTTGAATGGTCTACTTGATCATTTTCCCTAAATAAAATAATAGATTCATTTCTAGCTTATAGTACACATCTAATTTACTAAAAACCCTTCCATAAACTATTAATATTACCTGTCGATCAAAACAATTAATATAATTCGCTATAAATATCCATTATTAGTTGAGTTTTTTCTTAAGAGTACTTTTAACTCATGTCTTCTA